GAATGGGAATGCTCTAGAAGTAGAGGAAAGGGTTCTCCTTTCATGGTGCCATCCAATTTCTGATAGTTACACTCCAGAGGGAACTCAAATGTTTGGCAGAGTTCTAGGTAATAGATCATGTCCCAGTGAACGGAGTCATCTAAATTAGTCACACGTGCAGATAATGTATACATGTATATAGAGAAACGTGTGCATGTGCTTTCATGTCTAACTGGAGAAAGATCTCAAGGGAAGAGGGAAAAGAGATGCAACTCTTGTGTTCTAAAGTGATTTTTCCTTTTTGGTGGAGTACTTTTATTTTTTTAAAATTTTTAATTATTTTTTTAGTGTCTTATTTTTATTTTTTTATTTTTTAATTTTATTTATTTATTTTTTTATTAGTGAGACACCATGAGGTACAGTTGCAGACTTACACATTTTTGTGCTTGGGTTTCAGCTATACCATGATCAAATACCCATCCCTCCACCAGTGCCCATTTCCCACCACCACGGATCCCAGTATCCCTCCCACCCCTCCATCCCCCCATTCCACCCTGCCTCTGTGGCAGGGCATTCCCTTTTGTTCTCTCTCTCTTATTGGGTGTTGTGGTTTGCAAAAGAGGCAATGGGTGACAATCATGTTTGGTCTATAGTCTACTTTCAGCATGTTTCTCCCATCCTGAGAGGATCCTCCCAAAACCTTTATTTGGTGCTCCCTTCTCTATCTGAGCTCCCTTTTCCCCTAGCATGTGTGGTTGGCCTCCAAGCCATGGAGTAAAATTCCTGGTACTAATCTCGGCCATTCTTGGGTGTTGGTCTCCTATTTTGTTACTTTATGTTCCCCAGATGAATGCAATCTTTCTATGTCTATCCCTTTCTTTCTGAGTCATTCCGCTTAACATGATACTTTCCATGTAGTGAAATACCATGAGGTACAGTTGTAGACTTACAAATTTTTGTGCTTGGGTTTCTGTTGTACAATGATTGAGTACCCATCCCTCCACCAGTGCCCATTCTCTACCACCACGGATCCCAGTATCCCTCCCACCCCCCATTTGCCCCATCCCATCTTGCCTCTGTGGCAGGGCATTCCCTTTTGTTCTCTCTTTCCTATTGGGTGCTGTGATTTGCAAAAGAGGCATTGAGTGGCGATCATGTTCAGTCTATAGTCTACTTTCAGCATGCATCTCCCATCCTTCTAAAGTGATTTTGTAATGAATAAAGAAACTATAACTTTTGCAGATGAGTTAGAGGAGTTTATCCAAGCTGTCTATTATAGTGGTATTGTACAGATTCATTTATATTCTTATAGATTCAATTGGATCTGTCAGCATAAACCATTTTCCTTGTCATGTCTGTAAGTTTATTGACTTAAATCCTGAATTTATGGAGCAATTGGCTAAAATATTGGGATTTATTTTATATAGAATTTAGTAGGATCAGAGAATCGTTGCTCTGGGAAGCCATCAGTCCCCAGCAGATAGAAACATGCTTTTCTGGTGCTGACTCATTCATTTATCCTGCAGATCTTTATTGCACCCTTCTATGTACTCGATACCAGGATATAGTGGTGGCTAAGTCACGGGGTGTGCTTGAGTTCATGGTGGGGCTGGGAGGGAGAGGGTCACTGATACATAAGGTATGTTTATGCACGTTCCAGGGAAGGGAGAACAGAGAGAGGAAGTGGTGCCACATCTGAATGAGGAATCTTTGTTCCTCTGGATGTTGAACTTGGCCTTGAAAAAATGAACTTGATTTCCCCAGTGGAGTAAAGGAAAGAACTCTTGTGGAATATTCCAGCAGTTTCTGGAATGTGGAGAGGGCCGAGATATGACAGAACACAATGAGTTTGAGGAATGTGCAGGTGCGGCCAGGGGTGAGTTGCAGCCAGTGAAAGCCAGAGTGCAGGGCCTGAGTTGGGGTATAAAGATTCATGCCTACCACTCCGAGAAAGGAAAACTTGTCCTGATGGCAATACCTTAGGCAGGAGAAGAACAGGATCAGTGACATAGCCAAGTGTCAATGAATACTGGCATAGATGCCACCCAGACGAGGGTCCCAGCAATAACATAAGCCCAAGATTCTTTTCTGGGAGGGGGGTAGGGATGTGTGTGTGTGTGTGTGTGCACACCCAGCGATGCTCAGGGCTTACTCCTGGCTCTGCACTCAGAAATCACTCCTGGCAGTGCTCAGGGGACCATATGGGGTGCCAGGGATTGAACTCAGGTCGGCGGTGTGCAAGACAATTGCCCTACTCACTGTATTATCACTCCTTCCCTCAGCCCTAGGTTCTTAAACTCTATTTCATAACTCCAGAGGGGTCACATAACTGAGTGTCGAGCTCAAAGATTATGTTGCTAGTGGAAGGCTTCAGCAAGTGCAGTCACCAAAAATTAACTCACCAGTGATATGTAATGAATTGGAGGTGTTTTCTGGCAACACTTGCCAATCTTAGATTTCTGGGGTGAAAGGGGTCACAAGTGGAAAAAAAAGTTCAAGAAGCAAGAAAAGTATGTCTGCACAGTGAACATGGAGATGTGAGGAATTTCAGGGGTTTATTTCTGTGATGGAATTATGGGCACTGGGGATAAAATAAAGAGGGATGGGACCAAGGAAGGAGGCAGAGGAGGGAAGAAAAAAGAGAACTGGAGAATGGAGTGGGTCGAAGAATGGAGGCCACAGAGACAAAGTAAAATGGCAACGGAAGTGGCCAAGTGGGTCTGGCTTCAGGTGAGTGTGGTTTATGTGACTCTGTGGGGAGTCTCCAGGCAGAGATGAGCAGTCAAATATTGTCCCAGCACACTGTTCCCTAAGGTGGACAGAGCCACGGCCGGGAAAGGGGAGTATGTGAGAATTATTGAGGGAGGGGAGGAGAGGCAGGATTGGGGGAGGGGGCGGGTATGCTTTCTCTTTGTGTAAATGAGGTAGTTTGCCAGGGGGTGATGAGGAGTGCTTACTTTTTCTGAAAAGGGGGTGACTGGGCAAATAAGTTGGGGAGTCTCTAGATTAGCACCCCAGAGGGATTTCACGGTGCAACAATTAGGATTGTTAAACCACAGCATTGGAGAGAGGGTCAGTGGCGAGCTAGTGTGAATAGTGTTTCACCACCTTTCTCTGACTGTGGCCCCTTCTGACCTCGTTTGCTTCCTGTGAATCCCCACCCCCCCCAATCCCTAACCTCCTAGTTGGCCTCTAGCCTCATGCTCTGGCCCCTCACATACACAGTTTTCTTTCACCTGTGGCCCCTTGGACTATCCTGGGGGCTTGAGTACCCCCAGTGGAGGGGAGCTGGTCTAGACTCCAGAGGACGTACAGATACAGGGAAGAGACTCTCTGAGGAGTCCTGAGGGAACCCTGCTATGGAAGTCACAGGCAGCAGAGATGTCCATTTTGGCTGATGGATATTCCGAGCACCCTGTCAATACCTCTTCACCAGACAAAATCAGGGGACCGTGTGTGTGTGTGTGTGTGTGTGTGTGTGTGTGTGTGTGTGTGTGTGTTCATTGCTCAGAGGGATCTGCAAAGATGGGGGAGGAGAACAGGCAGCCAATGGCCTTGCCAAAGAAGGAGAAGAGAGCTTTCAGAGTGAGCTTGGTGGGAAGGTCCCCACGGCTGCCCGCGGGTAGAAGTGGCTGAAGACAGAAAACTTGCCACCAGCGGCCCTTCTGGAGCATCTGCGAAGAGAAAGTAGCTCTTGGCGGGAAAGGGATAGCAATGGCTGTGTTCTGGTTAAGAACCGGAAAAGGAGCTTTCTCCTGGATTAGGACGCATCAACAGTCACATTTTTCAGACTAGGTGTTAGCCCCTGACATTGCTTCTCCGTGCATGGTCCCAGACCAGACTCCTGGGCATAACCTCCCACCATGAGCCAGAAACTCAGGGGTGGGGACCCAGCCGTAGGTGTTTTTTTATTTTTATTTTTTTTATTTTAATGAATCACAAGAAGGTACAGTTACAGACTTATAAACTTCTGTGATTATGTTTCAGTCTTACAAAGATCGAGTACCCATCCCTCCACCAGTGCCCATTCTCCACACCAATGTTCCCAGTATCCCACCTGCCATTCCCACCCTTTCCTACCCCCTCTATTTTTTCTCAAAAATATAGAAATTGAGCTCCCGTTTGACCACGTCATACCACTTCTGGGAATGTATCCCAGAGATGCAAAATAGCACAGTAGAAATGACATCTGCGCTTGTATGTTTATTGCAGTATTATTTACAATAGCCAGACTATGGAAAAAAACCTGAATGCCCGAGAACAGATGACTGATTAAAGCGACTTTGGTATATCTACCCGATGGAATACTATGCAGCTGTTAGAAAAGATGAAGTCATGGAATTTGCATAGAAGTGGATCAACATGGAGAGTGTCATGCTAAGTGAAATGAGTCTGAAAGAGAGGGACAGATATAGAATGACTGCACCCATTTGTGGAATATAAAGTATCATCATAGGAGAATAACACCTAGGGATAGTGCATGCTTTCATGAGTTGCCAGGCCACCTGGATGCACTCTGAAGTTGGAAAGTCACTGGTTTGTGCCATAGCTGAGCACAGTTAGTACCATTGGGGTTTTCAAGAGTGAGTTCTGACTCCTAAATATAAACACCAAGATCTACAGAGCAGAGAGGAAGAGAAAGGAAGCACTGTGTGCAGTGAGGAAGTAGGGGGTGACCTGGGGTGGAAGGGGGCTCAGTACACGTTGTGTGGGTGGGGAAGTGATTCACCTCATTTCTCCACCGACTCACACATTTCTTGTGACAAGGAATATCCTCATAGGACGTGCTCTGCTGTGGTCAAAGGCAGGTTGTGACCAAAGGCAGTATTCATTTTCTTCAAGGCCCGGGGTTCGCTGGGTCTCCTTTTGCCATTTGTAATATTTGTAAACACCACCTGATATTTTCATCTTTGAAATGCCAACAAGGGTGTAACTGCGGCAAGAGCTTGAGACTCAAGCGCGTTCCCTGGTACTCCTGCATGTTTATCCAAACCCTTGTGTTTTTTCTTTTGTCCTACCAGGTCTGTGAGTTAGATATTATCTTTAATTTCGAGAAAGCTTATTTTATCCTGGACGAGTTTATAATGGGTGGAGAAGTTCAGGAAACGTCCAAGAAGTCGGCCGTCAAAGCCATCGAGGACTCGGATATGCTGCAAGAGGTCAGTGCTTGCTCGCTCTCTGAGGGTAATGATGATGAGGAGGATAATGCTGAAGATGAGGATAATGGCTGTGGAGTATTGATCTCCCCTTCCTGAGCCTTTCATGCTGGCTGCAGTTCCAAATGAATGCATGTGTGTGAGCTTATTTAATTATCACGTAGGGTGTAAGGTAAGGAGGTATCATTACGTTCTTTGGAGGTGAGCAAAAGTACAAGTAAGCTCATGCCTTTGATTTCTTGTCGTTTTGGGGGGAGTAGGGGGAGACTCCTGGTTCTGTGGTCCTTCGTGGGGGGGGACTTGGGGGACCATGTGCTGGGCTGGGGACTGAACTAAGCGTAGCTGCATGCAGGCAAGTGCCTTACCATATGCTTTCTCTCCAGGTGCATACTTCCTCGCGAGCCTGGCTCTTATCTCTGCTCTCCACATTTGTCTGAGCTTTTGAGCGAGGAAGACTCACTGGCAAAAGGCTATCAAAGGCTCAATACAGTTCTTTTTAAGAGCCATTTTATGAGAGGCATAAAAAGGCTTTCATTAAAATATCCGTGCCACCCTGGGAAAGGGGAAGGGTAGGCGATCATTATTTTCATGCGCCAGGAATATTGGAGTTTTATTACCGAAGCTGGCATTTATCATTTTAATTAAAAAATTTAAACCACCTATGGAGATGGTATATATACACCCTTTTGCATAAATCAACCGGAGACACTGTGACTCACAGGCCAGGGTCTAGAGGAGCCCGGAAGCTTCCATTTGGTCAGAGTTTGACTTTACAGAAAATATAGGGGTGTGGGTTTTTCTGGTAGTGTGACCCAGACATGCCCCTGTGCCCAGAAGGGAGCTTACCCCCACCAGTTCTTTATTCCTCTTGAGAAGGGAGAAAGAGCCTTGACCTAGGGACCTTTGGGTCTCAGGCCAAGCGTGCATCCGCGGTCCATGCCAAGAGCTAAAACCCACAGTGTCTTCTAGACACTAACATGAAAGCCATTTCTTGCTGCTTGCCAACAGGCAGCTATAAGTCAGTAATACAGCTCCAGGTGTGGGCCGGCACCTTTGTGAACCCTTTGGTGTTTGGTCTTTGATTTCTTTCCCTGGGTCACCTAGTAGCCAGTTCTCAGCTTGCGCATCTGTGAGGCTCTGCATACACCAGGGTCTTCATTCTTTGAAGCGTCTTCATCTTGAAACACTCATGGAGACTCTATGGTGTTTGCTGGGCTTGGTCCCCAAATGCCACAGCCTGGGGGATTTTTTATAAGGTCCTTGAGAGATGTGTGGTTTGGAAGTTCCACCGTTCTTCAAATGTATTAGAGTGTGGGGGACGGAGCGATGGAGATAAGGCGCTTGCTTGCATCGGGCTGACCCCAGTTCAGTTCCCAGCACTGAATATGGATCCCTGAGCATCTCCGGGGGTTAGCCCGGAGCACCACTGGGTATGGTCCCAAGTGTCCTCCCTCCCCAACCCCCTGATTCTCCTGTTCTTCCCCCCCCCCCCCCCCCCCGCCCCATATGCTGGGGACTGGGGATAGAGAGCTTAAAGGGCTGGACTACTTAGTTCTTTTCTTAAAACTACCTAGTTCCTCAAACACTGTAGGAATTAGTTCCCCACTGCCCCGTATGCTGCAGGGTTAATTTAATTCTCTCCTCAGGACCTTTACCTGCGGATTCTTCTTGCAGGCTAAATAGGCTTTCCGGCAGGGCCTTCGGAATTTCAGTAATTAAAGCTCCTTGAATTGGGGCCAAGACACACCTGGTGGTTTTGATGGCCTCCCACTCCCCAGCGCCCCCTTAGGAGGCTGCCTTAAAGAGCTCGCTGTGTACGGGGCCTCTGGTTCCCTTTCAATCTGGAAGCAGGTGTTTTGAGAAAACGCTCTTGCGCGATTAAACACTAATTAGCAGTCCATGTCTTTGTGGTTGAGTGAGAGGTCTTAATGGGTCGGTCTCAGGCGAACGTCCATTCATTTAGCCCTGGTGTTGCCCTGGTGAGAGGCAGTGTCACAACTGTCCCCCGAAAACCCCCTCATTGATTGAACAACACCTGCCAGATAGAGCTGTTATCAGCCATCTCCGGGATTCTGGTACTTTAGAGAAAGGCAGTGAACGTTTGTGGACTGGCTGAGAAACTGACCTTGAGTGTCTGGTTGGCTCAGCATAGCTGGTTAGGGAAGTTTGGAATGAACAGATGCAAGTTATATTAGCGCACTATGAAAAAATTCATGTTTTTGTTGTTCTTGTTGATTATCCTTTTGACCAGAGCATATATTTGTAATCACTCAAGGTTAAGGAGGTACTTTTTTTTCCTTTTTTTGCTTTTTGGGTCACACCTGGCAATGCACGGGGGTTACTCCTGGCTCTGGCTCTGCACTCAGGAGTTACTCCTGGCGGTGCTCAGGGGACCATATGGGATGCTGGGAATTGAACCTGGGTTGGCTGCGTGCAAGGCAAACGCCCTACCCGCTGTGCTGTCTCTCCAGCCCCTAAGGAGGTACTTTTGACATTGTTTTCATCTTTAGTACAACCCAAAAAGCTCCATAAATTCCCCAGACATTCCTTTGCACCCCACCTCATTAGATTTTCTTAGATTAGAACAGCTGCCAACCCATACTTAGTAAGAAGATACAATCTCAAATACCCAAGGGCCCCAAACGTCCTCCAACTATACCGAATGAGGTGAGCGGTGAATTTCATAAGAAAGAAATGACTTAATTGACTTGGGTTGACTTTGGGGGGCATTTTTTTCTGAGGGCCAGGACTCTGACCTGTGGACAAGTGGTGCCAAGTAACTAGAAGGCAGATGCAACACTTCACGGGAGGGATTGATCATGATCTGCTGGGCTTTTGGTTCCTGGCGTCACCAATGGGAGCAACCAGATCTTGATAGCAGGTTGAGGAAGGAGGGTCAGTTGGGACCTCATTAGCTGAGGCAATCGGATAGGTACATCAGATGCATGTGTGTAGAAACCTGAAAAGTGGGTAGGTGTACCTCAGCACCGCATTCTCCAATGCGTGTTAAGATCTAAGTTAAACCATAATGCAGCCAAAGGTCATCGCGTGCACTGTGCTCAAGAAAAGTTCAGTGGTGTTCATGGAAACGGGAGTAACTGCAGCTTAGAGAGGAGAATCAGTGCATTGTTTAAGTAGATTCAGCTGTTGGGTGCAGCTATGCCAGTATATCTGAAGCCACTGCAGTGATAAGCCCTTTCACTGGGCCATGCCCTGCCAGGGCTGCAGAGGACTTGGAACTGTTAATCTGCCTGTCATTGGAATATTTAAAACAGTGTTGGGGGGATATTATGACCATGGCATGTTAGAACACTTGATAAGCAGTGAAAAAGCTTAGTTATGTTTTATTTTTATATTTATTTTTAGTTTCTTCCCTTCTCTTTTCCCTTCTTACCCCACCTTCTTTTCTCCCTCCCTCCCTCCCACCCTTTTTTCCTTCCTCCCTCCCTCCCACACTTCCTTCCTTCCTTCCTTCCTTCCTTCCTTCCTTCCTCCCTCCCATCCTTCCCCTTCCCTCCTTCCTCCCTTTCCTCCCATTTTTCCTTCTTCTCCCTCTTTCCCTCCTTCCCATTTCCCTTCTTCTTTCCACCCTCCATCCCTCCTTCCTGTCTTTTCCCCACTTCTCCCCTCTTCTTTCCTCTACTCCCCTCTCCTCTCCCTCTACCACTGAGATACACCCTTAGTCCATAAAACATAGTTTTATACTGTGTAATCTCTTCAAAATATTTGGCGCACATTTTTAGGTTGAGTGATTTGTTTATCCTTTCTGCCGTGGCAATCAGCATGACAAAAGAGTCCCACTCTAATAGGTGTGCCTCAGGTGGCCCTGGGAATCCTGCTAGCAGACACACTTAACAAAAGTGGACAGTGATGATGTGGAGCTGTTGCGTGTCCCCATCAGCCATTCTTTTTTTTTTCTTTTTAATTTTTATTAGTGAGACACCATGAGGTACAGTTGTAGACTTACACATTTTTGTGCGTGGGTTTCAATTGTACAATGATAAAATACCTATCCCTCCACCAGTGCCCATTTTCCACCACCACCAATCCCAGTATCCCTCCCACCCCCATCCCCCCCATCCCACCCTGCCTCTGTGGCAGGGCATTCCCTTTTGTTTTCTCTCTCCTTTTGGGTGTTGTGGTTCGCAAAAGAGGCATTGAGTGGCAATCATGTTTGGTCTATAGTCTGCTTTCAGCATACTTCTCCCATCCTGGGAGGGTCCTCCCAACACCCTTATTTGGTGTTCCCTTCTCTATCTGAGCTGCCTTTTCCCCTAGCATGTGTGGCTGTCCTCCAAGCCATGGAGTAAAATTCCTGGTACTAATCTCGGCCATTCTTGGGTGTTAATTTTCTATTTTGTTACTTTATGTTCCCCAGATGAATGCAATCTTTCTATGTCTATCCCTTTCTTTCTGAGTCATTCCGCTTAACATGATACTTTCCATGTAGTACCACTTGTACGTAAATTTCATGACTTTGTCTTTTCTAATAGCTACATAGTACTCCATTGTGTAAATGTACCAAAGCTTCTTTAACCAGTCATCTGTTCTCGGGCACTCAGGTTTTTTCCAGATTTTGACCATCAGCCATTCTTTTTAGAATCAAACAGGTTGTTTTATTTTCGACTTAGTTAAAAATTATGCCTCCATATTGAGGTCCCTGCAAATCAGACTCAAAACTCTGAAGCACTATTGATTTGAACACACAGGCGCAGCTGGGATGTGCCTGGTTGATGAAGTGTATGCTTTCCCTGTGTGGGGCCCTGGGCTCCATCCCTGGTACCACACAGAAGGGAAAACAGAAAGAATGCAAAGATATCCACCCACCTATCCTGTTTCAAAATGATATTTTAATCAATGACCAAAAAATGAAAGAAGATTTTACTGTCTGCTAAAGATGCGTGCCAGTTTCAAGGCAAATCATGGTAAATTTCTCCTTTGCTTTCAGACACTGGAGGAGTACATGAGTAAGCCTACATTTTAACCAGGCATCTGCTGCAGATGTGAGTCTCCGGTGAGCACCTGGGAATGAGCAACGCCTGGTATCCAGTTACTGTACTACGCCTTCAGCACCATGCCAAAAATAACTTTAAAGGGATTCTTTGTTAATTAGCAAGAATTAAACTTGTTTAGCATGAAATATTTATCATTTTTACATGTCTGTATTATATTGTATATGACTACCCCACATGTTGAAATAACTGCTTCAAGATGTTATTATAACTCCATAGACAATATTTGTTCGCAGTGCTTTAATGCCATTAGAAAAACTTGTTGCAATATGTTCGTTGCATTTGTTTCTCTACTGACAGGCTGAACACTCTGTTGTAATGATCCCTGCTTTTAACTGTAAAGTATAAAGTACAAACTGTAAAGTATATAGCAGTACTTTTGCTTCCTGTTTAACTTTTAAAATTATATATGAATTCAAAATTATCACTAGCTTAAAGCTTATACATAATGTTAGGTGTTTGGATACCCTTTAATAATACTGTCATTTCAGTACAGATACAACGTATCTGATTTTTTTAATGTCCTGAATTTATTTTTTTTTCCAGGATTGGAATAAAATAAAATAACTGAAGATAGTTTAGGCCTTAGTGTTTTTGGTGTCTTGGAAGCTGCTATCTCAGCCAATTCTTTGCTGCCTTTTAATAGAATATAAAGGACATATATGATCAGATTTTCTACAAACTGTTAAGATTTTGAGCTCCCTAGAGATCATTGTTTCATTACAAAAATAGTCTAATATAGATCAATAGCTATAATAATAGGTAAAAAGGTAAAGGCCCTCCCGTTGATCGTCGATTTGCTCGAGCGGGCCCAGTAACGTCTCCATTGGAGACTTTGTTGTTACTGTGTCTGGCATATCCAATACTCTTGGTAGCTTGCCGGGCTCTCCGAGAGGGGCATTGATATAATTATCTTTTATGTTTCAAGAACTTAGTTACTTAAGAGATTTCATTTCAAATATGTTTTAATGTATATCTAGTGTATTGGCGTTTGTTTTGTTCAGGAGTTACTTGTGACGCTGGTCATTCAGGGGACTATTTGCAGTGTTGGGGATTGAAAATGGGTCAGTCACATGCAAGGCAGTGCTGTGACCCCTATATTCTCTCCCCGGTACCATATTTGCTTATTTTGGTTTTGGGGGCCACAGTCAGCGATGCTCAGGGGTTACTACTGCCTCTGGGCGCAGGTATTACTCCTGGCAGTGCTCAGGGGATCGTCTGGGATGCCAGGGACCGAACCCAGGTCGGCCGCAAGCAAGGCAAATGCCCTAACTACTGGACTATCTCTCTAGCCCCATCCCTGGCACCATGTTGATTAGACTCACTGTTTGATTAGACTCTCTTGGAGCATTGAATGCTGTTGTTAAGCGTGGTAGGTAACTTTCCTCCCTTCCCAAAGCAAATGTTTGCTGCAGGCAATTATTACTGTGACTGTGTCCCCTTCCCACTTCCTAGAGTCGAAGTTCCATGGAGCCAGGAGTTAATGTGATCAGACATCAGAGGAAACCAGCTGGCGAGTTCCTGTCTTGGGCCCTGTCTTTGATACCTTACCTCAGGCGTCTCCATTTTAGTTTGGAGGTCCGGTGTCATTTATTGGAGTGTCTGCAGGCACTAGGTTTTCTTGAGCATTTGGCTCCTGTCGAATATTCATGTTGTGAGAACGAGAGGGGAGAAAAACCTAACCTTTTTGTCCATCTTGCCAGACATGTTTTGGGGAAAAATGGCCAGGTAGAAGCAGAACAGAATGAAAACTGGACCAATTCCTCAATTCAACAATTATAAAAAGAAAATTGATGGGTAAATTAAGAAATTACCAGGACTTTAATACTTCATAGTTTTTCAAATTAACCATATGATTATAATTATGCTATTAGATTTGAACCACCTATCTTAAGTAAAATTAAGTTTATATCATTTTTGATCACTGTTTTTATGTCCAGCTGTGTGGTTTAGAATTCTTTTCTTTTATTATTATTTTTTAATGCCGTGCAACACTTGGCATCTTTTTGTCAAGGTAAATGTTATATAAAACCATCATAGTTTTTCTGGTACTTTTGAAGTTTTAAACGAAGGTGCTTATCGAAGCTCATTCAAAGGGGCTGTGCATTTGTTTCCTGAGAAAATCCTGAGTTAAAAGTGTCTGGCGATGAAACCACCTTTAAGTTCACGCCCCGGTCACACAGAAAATGAACGTGGCACTAAGGCAATTTGGAACAAATTTAAGGGACTTTATGGACATTTTAAATGGGCCTTGCAAAACTCAACCTTGTTTTCTCTATAGTGCATCATCATAATAAAACTGCCAGGTGAAAGAAATTTATATGAAACTTCCAAATAAAATGTATTAAAATTTTTGTGAGGAACTTGAGTGTGTGTTTATGAATATGTATGTAGATAAATATATTTTTTAGTTATATTTCAGTCTTCAAATTGCTTGCTACCCCTACTTTTTTTTTATTTGTTTGGGAGACACATTTGGCGATGTTCAGCATTTACTCCTTGTTCTGTGCTCAGCAATCACTCCTGGCGATGCTTGGCAGAGCGTATGGAGTGTCAGGGATTGAACCCAGGCTGTCTGTATGCAAGGCAAGCGCCTGATTTGCTGTACCATGTCTCTGACTCCTCTGACTCTGCTTCTTGGTGAAATTCCTTTGATCGGAACTCTTCATTTTCCTAGTAATTACCACCCAGGAGACACTTCATAAATTGGGTGACAGCCAATGAAAGCAGAAATATTTGTGACTTAATTCTTTCTGACTTGTCCCTATTTTTCCACGTTATGGTCTTCTGTGTATAGTTTATGGGTAGCTCTCTGTCTGTGATATGTGCATTCTTTAAATCTAATAGCTGCTTTTCTGTTATAGAACAAATGTAGCACCGTAGCACTGTCCTCCCGTTGTTCATCGATTTGCTCGAGCGGGCCCAGTAACATCTCCATTGTGAGGCTTGTTGTTATTGTGTTTGGCATATCGAATATGTTCACGGGGAGCTTGCCAGGCTTTGCCACGTGGGTGAGATACTCTTGGTAGCTTGCTGGGCTCTCTCCGAGAGGGGTGGAGGAATCGAACCGGGCGGGGTTGGCCAGGCCGGCGGCATGCAAGGCAGATGCCCTACCACCGTACTATCACTCCAGAACAAATGTAACGATGGCATTTATTCTGATAAAACAAGTGAGTTCTTTATTCGAGCTTTTTTCCCTATCACAGTTCCTAAAATAATGATAAAAGTTTTCAGCAAATATATATGTTGCTCTGATGGTTTTGTTTTTAGGATTTATGTAATATGTGTGAAATATCACCACTAATTTTGTGTATTCTCCCTACTTTAATCAGTAATCTTTGTTCATAATGTTAATATATTTTTTTCACATCATTCCCACAATTTTTTGATGAATTTCAACCAGTTGCTTTGCATTGTAAGTACAGCAGGCCAGTGATTTTATGTATAGATGTTTATAGCTTATATACGATATCAATAAAATATATTATGGAGGAACATATATAAATATTTAAAATGATCTGTTTTTCTGTACTTTTATGTAGATTACATTTATGCATATGTTTTGTGGATTTTGTACAAGTATATTATTATGCAAAACTTTCTCTTAATTCCATATTATTTTCTTAGTCTGTCTTTAGAATGATTGATTATTGGTCTTATGATACTCTTGATTGAGACTTCAAATTGCTTGCTAAATGGCTGTATCAAAAATAATGATACCACTCATTTTATTGTCATTTTGCATCTTCACCATAGAAACCTCCAATTTCTATGTATTTTACCTCTCACCAGCAATGCACAGGAGTGTTAATTTCTCTGCATTCTTGTCAACCCTTGTTATTTTATGTTTTTACATAATAAACGTTTTAATAGATGTGAAGTAGCATCTTGGTGTTTTTGTACACTTCCTTAAGGACTAATGATGCTGACTATCTTTTCTTTTCTTCTTTTTTTAGAGTTTGCATTTTTTTTTCAGTGAATCACAGTGAGATATAATTACGGACTTACAAATTTTTGTGATTACTACAGTGATCGGATACCCATCCCTCCACCAGTGCTCATTCTTCATCACCAGTGTTCCCAGTATCCCTCCCGACACCCCCCCCCCCCCCCCCACTGCCTCAGTGGCAGGCACATTCCCTCTTACTCTCTCTCTCTCCTTTTGGATGTTAAGGTTTGCAATACAGGTACTAAGTGGCCATCATGTTTGGTCCATTGTTGACTGTCTTTTCAACAGGACATGTTCTGTTATATATCTTCTTTTAAAACACTGTATCACTGTATCACTGTCATCCCGTTATTCATTGATTTACTCGAGCGGGTGCCAGTAACCTCTCCATTCATCCCAGCCCTGAGATTTTAGCAGCTTCTCCTTACTTGTCTTTCCCAACTCTGCCATATTGGAGGCTCTTTCAGGGTTAGAGGAATGAGAACCGTTATTGTTACTGTTTTTGGCATATTAATATTCCACGGAGAGCTTGCCAGGCTCTGCTGTGTGGGCAGGATACTCTCTCTTTTAAAACAAGTTAAATTTATTGTTATTGTTGTAGTTGTTGTTTGCCATATCTGGCAGTGCTTAAGAGCTAGTTGTGGCTTGCCTGCAAGACCAGGCAGTGCCAGGATCCAGGCCTGCTGCTTTCGGAGCACACGCTCAGCCTTGGGGCTCTATCTCTGATCCCCCTTGTTTGTCTTCTTTCAAGAGATGTCTCTTCGAGTTATTTGCCCAGTTGGTTTTTGTTGAATTCCATGAGTTCTCTGAATATTATTATTTGGGAATATTTTCTCTCATTCTGTGGATTTCTCAGTCGTTATGATAAATGTTTGTTATTTTGAACCAATGACTTTCAATAATTTTCACTCCTTTTTTTCTTCTTGGGTTACACCTGCAATGCACAGGGGTTACTCATGACTCTGCACTCAGAAATTGCTTCTGCAAGGGGGACCATATGGGATGTTGGGAATCGAACCTAGGTTGGCTGCATGCAAGGCAAATGCTCTGCCTGCTGTGCTATAGCTCCAGCCCCTGTTTTACTCTTAAGAAACTTTCAAAGACTACTTATAGATATTATACTTTGGTATTAAACAATGATGAATAATTTTGTTACATAAACCCAAATCTAGAAAGGGCTGCTAGCATGTTTAATCAGCTCAGATGTGGCTTGTGTTGGTTAATGTGAATCAGGCCTAAAAATGAACTTCCACTCTGGACAAGTTCTTTGTGAGATAAGTCACGTATTAACTGACTCTCAGAGTTTTAGATAATATATTTGTGGTCATTGTTTCCATGATAACTTATTTGTTCTGAAGGGTTTATGTACTCTTAACTATTTTCTTGTTACTTAAAAAAATGTTCTAAGCATTTCTCTTCAATGCTTAACGTACC